TTCCACTCGCTGGCCACTTTATTAGAAACACCCAACTTGTACCCGTACTTCTACTCACTGGCCACTTTATTAGAAACACTTATCTTCTACTTCCACTAACTGACCACTTTGTTAGAAACACCTACATTCTACTTTCACTCACTGACCACTTTGTTAGAAACACCCAACTTGTACTTCCACTCGCTGGCCACTTTATTAGAAATGCCTACCTTGTGCTTCCACTCGCTGGCCACTTTATTAGAAACACTCAACTTGTACTTCCACTCGCTGGCCACTTTATTAGAAACACCCAACTTGTACTTCCACGCGTTGACCACTTTATTAGAAACACCAACCTTGAGCTTCCACTCGCTGGCCATTTTATTGGAAACATCTACCTTGTACTTCTACTCACTGGCCACTTTATCAGAAACACTTATCTTCTACTTCCACTCACTGGCCACTTTAATAGAAACAACCGCCTTGTACTTCCACTCGCTGGCCGCTTTATTAGAAACACCTACCTTGGGTTTTCACTCACTGGCCACTTTGTTAGAAACACTTGCCTTCTACTTCCACTAACTGGCCACTTTATTAGAAACACCTACCTTGCGTTTCCACTCACTGGCCACTTTAATAGAAACAACCGCCGTGTACTTCCACTCGCTGGCCGCTTTATTAGAAACACCTACCTAGCGTTTCCACTCACTGGCCACTTTATTAGAAACACCTACATTCTACTTTCACTCACTGGCCACTTTATTAGAAACACCTACATTCTACTTTCACTCACTGGCCACTTTGTTAGAAACACCTTGTGCTTGATGTGAGGTATTTCATTCATGTGTAAATTATTTTTGAATTTAAACCAAATAGATTCAATGCAGCACAGTGTGTGATCCCTAATCATTTAATGTGGATCCCCAATATTTCAGTCACTCAAAAAAAATCTGCAAAATCCGCTGAGACAGTGTGAGACGCCCTCTCTGTAAATAATCCCACCTGAAGTTTGTGTTGTGTCCGTATCAGAGCTGAGATCTCTGCCGTGATGGTTATGAATGACATTTGGCGCCAAAGGTTGCTGAAGTTCATGTTTAATAAAGAGAGGGAATGACGGAGAACAGTAATAGAAATGTAGTGATGACTCACACTGACACGTACTTACAACACTTACCTGACAGGAAGGCTGGATAATTATAGGACAATTAGCATGACAATGGCTCACTGAATGCAGGGGCACAGCGTTAGTTAGGAACCACATCAACGTGATGTGTTGCTCATGTGTACGAATGTTCAGAGCTGCAATCTCAGAGCTAAAAGAGCAACACAGAAAACAACAGGTGATCTGATCAAACAAAGTCACATAGATAAGAGAGCATGTTGGAAAAATAAATAGTAGAAACATAAATATACAGAGTCCAAAAGGCATTTTTCATTTAAACCTAAAAATAAGTTTTAGAAAGACAAAGAATGATGTTATGAGAATAAAATGAAGAATAAAGATATCTAAAATTACTATGTGTAAATACAGTAACTCAGATGAAGTTTATCTTACCTTAGACCAGGGCTCAGCAACATGTGGCTCCGGTGCTGGGTATGGCTCTTTTGCTGCCCTGTTGTGGCTCCACAGCTGAATCAGATTAGTAGGTAAAAATAAAATAATCCTCCTTTACAGTAAAATAAAGCTCTGCTGATCGTTCAACACAGTTTAACAATAAATGGTCTTAAACTCTGGAGTTAATGTAGAACTGCTGATTCACCCTTTAACCCTGAAGATCAGCGCAGACTGCTGGTCACCACAGCAACACGGACAACAGTCTCGCCTAGCTAGTAGCTAACAAAACGGCAAAGAGAGAGATTTAAGACGACGATCGATCATTTGGAGACGAATGGACTTATTAGTGTTTATAATCACTCCAGCTGGTTTCCTGATACGTTTAATCTGCAACGAGAAACTGACAAACACTAAAAAAGTTGTGAGGCTGAAGTCAGTTTCTCATTCGCCAGCTTCCTGTTCGAATTGTCCCGTTCCACCTTAAATGGTGCAGCAGTTTCATTCTGGCATCTCAGGCACCATTTAAGGTGGAACGGGAACATTCAAACAAAAAGCTGAAGAATGAGAAGCGACTTCAGCCTTGGAAAAAGACGAATGTTGAGACATTTTAGAAGAAACTGTTCTACTTTTGTGGAAAAGTTTCCTGCCAGAGATGTGAGAAAAGCAGCTACAGCTGAGCTGAAGCTTAAAGCAGAGCAAAGTCAGTCTGTGTTTTAGTTTATATTATATTTTTTAGCCTTTACTAGAACATTAACACATACTGAGACAGATTACAGCCAAGATGGTGAAGTGGACATGAAATATTGTGGCTCCCAAGGTGGTTTGACTTTTGTTGAAAGGACAAAATGGCTCTTTTTAACATGTGGGTTGCCGATCCCGCCTTAGAGTCTTGTGCTATGAGTTTGGTTTTAATCCAAAACCTTTTCAGCTTCAGGAATGAAATATAAACACAGCTCCACCTCTAGATGGTCAGGACAGCATGAGTCTGGCTTTATGCACACCTTTCCACCATTTCTTACCCTAATCATTCTGACTGATTTACTGCCACCGATGTTCTCGCTGCATGTTTGTTTTGAGGAGTTGCTTGTGGGTGAAGGACCGTTTAGAGATGGCTGTAATTGGCTAAGAGGTGTGTCAATCATAATGTTGCAGAAGGTCAATTTGAAAGTAAGTGAACGAGAAAAAGTAGGCCCACCAACTCTGGGTTGGGTGTTTAGGTCTTTTTATTTACCTTTTGATTGTTTCTCCAGTTTTTGCTAGTTGGGGCCGTCTGTCGTGTGTTTGGTGAAGGTTTTTCTCTCTAAATGTAAAACGTTACACCAAAGTCCTTATAGCTAAGTCTTCACTCAGCAGCCATCTTTGCAACACCGCTGGGCAGTTATTTCCATCCCTACAGACCAGAGTTCTCCGTCTTCAAACGAGGGGAGACCATAACACTCAAAACATTTAAACTACATAAAAACACAATCCTCTGTTGTTGGAACAAAATCTCATCTTCAAAATGATAATTTTGGGCCGTTTCTTTTGGTCATTTCATCATAAAATTTACACACAATGTAAAGGACAAAAGGCTTTTTAAATGATTTCAGAAACTAAAAAAAACGACAAAAACTGTGTAAATAGTTTGTAGAGTTTGGCTCAATTACACACCAAAAATGAGATTTTTCGGGTTGCCGCACTTGTGCAGGTCTCCACAATGAGGGGAGCTTTACCCCTCACAGCATACCAACAACCTGATTGGCTCTTTTTCTTGAAAGGCGGGACTTTCTACGTAAATGGACAGCATGTTAAGGATTACAAGCTTTTCCTTTCGTGTTTTAAACAGTGACCGTCTCCTCGTTTATAATGTCTCGGGTTACGTTCTCACACCGCAGGAGTGATTCGTCTTCCACACATCGCTCATTGGCTCCCTGTTGCTATGGAAACTGGCCCCGCCCCCTCTGATCTAAAGCATATAGACAGAGTCTGACTAGCTAGCTACTTCTCCACTTACGTTCAAGTGAACTGCTGTTGCCTATCCAGAGTGTTTTAATCGTTTTTTAATCGTTTTGAAACTTTCGTTCAGGTTCATCGGCAGGTCGTTTTTAGGTGAGACACTAAAATGCATGAGTGTGGCATGAGAGCGTGAGATTAGACCTAAATGCGAGAAGGTTGGCAGCCCTGGAAAAGAAAGCCTTCTGGATTTGCTGCGGCTGAGTGGTGGCAGGCGGCTTATACAGTAGTGACAGTGTGAGGACGTTCACTCGCGTACGCCACCACATTCACCTCATCACTGTGTGTGTGTACCCTGTCTCCCACGGCAACCAGAGACGGAGCTCCACACCTCCTGATGTGGGCTGACAGAGGAGCTTAGAGAGCAGCAAAGACAGAAACGCTCAGTGCTTCCCTACAGAAATACGGATAATTATGGCACAATTAGCATGACAATGCTAACTGTATGCAAAACACTGCTGCATTACATGAAACGAAGGGTATTAATAGGGAGTTTGGCCTCCGTCGCTGCAGCAACAGCCTCTACTCTTCTGGGATTTCTTTACAGTAGATGTTGGAACATTGCAGTGAGGATTTGACTGCGTGAAAATGCTCATAAAAAAAGGCTGCAAAAGAAGTTTCTACGCTTGGATGAGGTGGTGAAGTTGGTTTAAAGATAAGAGAGATATGAGATAAAAGAGTAAAGAAAAGCCACATGTTTTTACTCAATCTGACTAAAACAAACAGCGAAAAATAGATATAAATCATCAACTCTGCATCTTGACTGACATTCGACTTACCAACTTTACAGTGGTGGTGATAGGAACCAGGGGTCGCCATGACTACAGTACAAATATAGACATTTTATTTACTATCCAGAACCACCAGTGAACCTACACGAGTCTTCTGAGTTTGTATGGAATGTTGATGATGGAAAATAGTGGAAAATCTGAAATGATCAGTTTTCTTTGAGGACTGTTTTGCCTCACAGTACCCTTCATATTATGTATCCCTCCACCATGAATGGAGTTTAAGGCCAAAATCTTCTCAAAACTATCATAAAACAGTGTCTCAGTCATCAGGCAGTGAATTCATAACCATTTCATGTAGGAACTTTCTGTGAGGGAGCTTTTAGAGGTGGACGTCTGGTTCCTATCACCACCACTGTGAACAGTTCTGACTCGGTAAGTTTCTCTAGAACAGAGCCAAACCACTCTGAATGACTCTGTTTACGTCTTAACGACTAAATTATGAAGCAGTCTTCTCTGTTGAGTTACCGCATTCATTGCTGTGTTGAAACAGAGAAATGTGCTGTGAATTTGGGAGGCTCCTCAGTCTGTACCCTGATTTTGCTCTTATTTGAGGCTGGCTGTGATACTATCACACCTACAAGTCTGCTTTACTGTAATATCTTCCAGTGCTCACTGTGTCACATTCTGACAGGTGATGTTTAATAACCAGGGGTGTTTACGTTGAGTCTCCTCTCTATTTTCAGGTGAAGACTTCTACGAGGCGACTCCGTATGAGCCTCTGCCTCCTGTCCGTCACTCTGATGCCTTCCGCCTGGCCTCCATCACTTCTGGTAAGCGCTTTATGGGTTATTACATTACTATCTCTAATTCACTCTTCACTGCTGTTGCCATCCAGTACCGTTTCCTTTTTGATCAACTTAGCCTTCTGAATTCACTTGAGCTAAACTTTCACTTTGTGGCCACTTTATTGGAAACCACTGCCTCCACCTCCACCTTTCTGATGTACTGTTTGTGTTAGCCATCTGCTAATCCTTCATCAGTGCTCAGTTTCTGACCACAGAGTCGCTCTGCTCTGGACATTTTTGGGTGCTGGTCCACTCAACAGTGGTCCTGTGGTAAGAAACTGACTGATGATGAATGGAGTAGAGCAACAGATGGACTACAGTCTATAACACCTACACAATGCATAATAATACATAATAATAACACATCATAAAGTGGCCAGTGTGTGGAACATCAAGGTGTTTCCAATACAGTGGCCAGTGAATGGAAGTAGGTAGGTGTTTCTAATAAAGTGGTCAGTGAGTAAAAGTAGGTGAGTATTTCTAATAAAGTGACCACTGAGTGGAAGCACAAGGTAGGTGTTTCCAATAAAGTGGCCAGTTAGTGGAAGCACAGTGTGGGTGTTTCTGATAAAGTGGCCATTGACTGGAAGTAGGAAGGTATGTGTGTCTAATATAGTGGCCAGTTAGTGGAAGTATAGGGTCAGTATTTCTAGTAAAGTGGCCTGTGAGTGGACATACAAGATGCGTTTCCACTAAACTGGCCAGTCAGTGAAAGCAGAAGATTGGTGTTTCTTATAAAGTGATCAGTGGGTAGAAGAACAAGGTAGGCATTCCTAATAAAGTGGCCAATTAGTGGAGGCACAAGGTGGGTGTTTCTAATAAAGTGGCCAGTTAGTGGAAGTACAGCGTAGACGTTTCTAGCAAAGTGGGCAGTGATTTTATTTGCTGTTTCTGATAAAGTGACCAGTGAGTGCTGATTACAGGTTGAATCAACAGCGCGCTAGCTGTGTGGGGCGAGTGCTTACTTTTAGACGGTCTGTAAGCGCAGCGTGAAGGAATGAGTGATTTATTCGATTGGAAAATAAACATCCGAGGCTTTTGTAGCCGCAGCATCGGGTGAGGCTGGTGCTTAATTCACTGAGCGAGATCATTACAGACAGCCAGGCTTAGCAAAATGATCGACTCCCCCTCACTGCCGGAGCCGCAGACAGTGCAGAAAACACACAGCATTCATTTTTATTCCGCTCTGACAGAACACCCTCAGAATGACAAAGCTTTAACGTGCAGCGGAGAGCGAGGCGGGGTGCCACAGGGTTGCCAGATCCTCGCTTCCTGCTGATTTTGTTGTGTAACAGCAGTTTTTTTTTCCCTATCTCCGAGGGTCGACTTTTGAGTGGGAGCCGCTTGTTGAGAGTTTTGTGCAATTCGTTACGGGGTTTTTATCCCGAATAATTGCTGAGGCTGGAAAACGCACGAAGGGGAGGAATAAAGAAAGAGCCGGCGAGAGGTGTAATTACACAAAGGGGAGTTTAGTCCGGCCTTTCTGCTCTGTTGGTCTGCTGTGCTAGTCAAAAAAAACAGAGAAATGTGAAAGCACATAACGAGTACGAGAACTCTGTTTGAGAGAACCGGAATGAAAGGAACCGTTGGGCAAAAAATGCTGTGATTTTTCCCCTTCTACACGGAGTGAGTCGATCCCTTCTAGAAAAACCAGTGTAGCCCAGCACGGCTGGTCACCAGCAAAACAAGCATATCGTTAAAAACCTCCTATCTCCAAAATAATAACAGTAACACTTTCTATGAATGTCACATCTGTAAGCATCTGTAAACACATTCATAACATGTTATAATGCATTCATAAGGCATCATAAACATGCCTATAAATATTTATAAAAATGCATTACGTTATAGCCATGCTTATTATGCATTATGAATTGTTAACATAATGCATTATAAGTACTGATCATAACAAATTATAAGAGCTCATAAGTGGTATTTGTCCGCTCTAAGTAAAGTGAAGCGTACTGTACTAAAGCCTCCTCCAGTGTTCAGAGTGAGGCTTCAAGTTGAAGTATTTACTGAAGGATTTACTGAAACACTAAAACATTCACAGTAAAGCACATTACAGGCTTCAAATGTCAGAGTTTAAACTAGAGCTGCCATCAGTGTTTTACCCAATGTGGGAAAGGTAATGTACACCACCGTTAGCTTGGAGCTAACTTAACACTGCATATCCAGTAGGATGCTAGCAGAAATTAGCATTTACTGTACTGTAGTGTAGGGATGTTACAGAGTGAAGGGTTCTAGCACTTGACGTTAGAACCAGTGAAGGAACAAATTACAATGACAGCGCTCTACGTTCTCACCTCTCCCTCTCCAGGCCTTCACTCCACAGTGACTTCACGCTCAGTGTGATGTCAGAGGGGGTTCAGGGGAGGGGCTGATGGGTACTTGGTTTGCTGTGATGTACTGTAGTGTTTAAAGTGAGACGCTGGGTAAGAAAAGCTCACTGTAGCAGTGATTCAGTTTGGAGCATCTGAATATTCAGGACTGAAGCCCTGAAGATGCAGCCCTGACAGCACCAGCGCTGAGAAATACAATACTGGAAATCTCAGGACGTAAATAAACTCTGTATTTGTCTTTTATTTACAGTCTCTAAACTGGGACTGACTTCTTTGGCACTGACAGTATAACATGTTATTAACACTACTTATAATGCATTATATTAACAATTCATAATGTATAATAAACATGGCTATAAAGTGTAATTAATTTTTATAAATATTTATAACCATGTTTATAATGCCTTATGAATGCAGCCACATGTCACAAATGTGTTTATAGATGCTTACAAACGTGACATTCATAGAAAGTGTTACCATAGTAACTTTACAGGAAAATGAAAAAACCTACTTTACTTTTAATGGAAGTCAATAGAAGCTTTTTCCAAGTAAGTTTGGGTCGTTTCTTTTGGTCCATTCATCATGGAATTTACACACAATGTAAAGAGTAACATGTATTTTCAAATTATGTCAAAAACTGAAAAACATCAAAAATGGAGATGCAAAGTTTTCTTCCAACAGCAGGGATTTTATGTTGTGTATTGGATGCCAGCATGCTGGTCAACCACCATGACCATGCTGGGTGACCCTTCAAACCAACACTAGACCAGCATAAACCAGCTTAGACCAGTTTGGACCAGCATTGGACCAGCATGTGCTGTTTATTTTTTATTTTTTTTTTTCAGCTGGTTTTGCTTCTTTAGCTTTAGCACTGGAGCTACAAGGCTAATATAGCTGAGTACAAGTAAGCTTGTACCCCACCAATTAGCATGGTGCTAACTGAATGGCTAATTATTCACATTAGGTAATCTTTAATAGACTTGATTAAGTGGTTTCTCACACTGTATGATAATCTGCTATCCATGAACATGATCAATAGGACGTTAGCACAGCTAACAACAGTGGTAGCATCTTGAAGCAATAATCCACCAACCAAAAATATCCAGCCAACAGCATCCTGTGGGCAGCGTTCTGTGACCACTGATGAAGGACTAGAGGATGACCAACACAAACTGTGCAGCAGCAGATGAGCTATCGTCTCTGACTTTACATCTACAAGGTGGACCGACAAGGTAGGAGTGTCTAATAGAGTGGACAGTGAGTGGACACAGTGTTTAAAAACTCCAGCAGTACTGCTGTGCCTGATCCACTCGTACCAGCACAACATATTTACCAACATATTTACCATCTGAAAACAGCAAACTCATCATAGTACAGCTAAAAAAAAGCCTACAGTTTCAGTGCCCTGCTAAAAAACGACCATTAGAACCATTACAAAATAAAGCTAATGGTACTGCTTTCTAATGTGAATTGGCTTAATGGTTACCATAAGAGAAAAGAACCTTTGTAGCATGCATAGTTCTTAAAGGATGGTTCCTCAAAGGTTCTTGAGTAAGGACAATGACTCTTTACAGAACCATGAACACCCAAAGAAATATGTGCATGATGGAGAGTGTGCTTTACATGGTTCTAGATAGAATCTCATGAAAAGGAGGGTTCTTTATAGCTCTGCTATAGTGCTCTTCTGTTTTAAGCTTTGATCCACATTAGAACCCTTTTTGGCGCTGTATAGAACCATCTACAACACGTTCTCCATCAATCTGAAGAACCATTTCACCATGCAAAAAACCTTTTAAGCATGCATATGGTTCTTTGAGTGTTCATGGTTCTAGGTAGAACCATTATCTTTACTCAAGAACCCTTGAGAAACCATCTTTTTTGCACTGTAATCTCATCGGATGCCTCAAATGGAGCCTTATCACTGTTGTTGGTGTGGGCAGGCCTGTTGATATGAGATCAAATGCTACACTAGGATGACACCCTTCCCAGCTTTCCGAGCAGAAATTCCCAGTTTTCCTTGTTTTCTCTTTGAGGAGGAAAATTCAAAGTAACTAGTTTTAGTCAGGCTTCTATTACTTGTTAGCTACATTAGCCATGAGGCTCCTAAGACTAAATAAGCCAACTTCAGACTCCAAACATGTGTTGATCGACTACATTTGGGGTAAATGTGAGTTCCAGTCAATTCAAGTCAAATGTGAAAGGGCAATTTCACCAGTTTTTCAAAATTTCTACTTATCCAGTGAGTGAGATGTAAACAGAGTGATTCAGAGCGGTTTGGTGTGAAATGGTTCAGATGTCTTTACAGTGGTGGTGATAGGAACCAGGGGTCGCCATGACTACAGCACAAATATAGACATTTTATTTACTATCCAGAACCACCAGTGAACCTACACGAGTCTTCTGAGTTCATATGGAATGTTGATGATGGAAAATAGTGGAAAATCTGAAATAATAAGTTTTCTTTGGGGACTATTTTGCCTGACAACACCCTGCATATTGTGTATCCCTCCACTATGAATGGAGTTTAAGGCCAAAATCTTCTCAAAACTATCATAAAACAGAGTCTCAGACATCAGGCAGCCATTTCTTGTGATAACTTTCTGTGAGGGAGCTTCTAGGGGTGGACTTTTGTTTCCACTGTGA